AGGGTGCGATCCCATGCAGTTATATTTCGCGTAACGCGTATCGCGTAACCAATCAGAGACGTTCCGCGTTTTCTTTACGCCTGTGTCAAAAAGTCACGTACAATTCGAACGTATTACGCGCGTTTGCACCAGTATATATGTGTGAGTGCAGAGCATGCAGAGTTCGACATAATCAATATGGAGGTTAGTATTTATTTATAAAAACTAAAATATAAAACTTTTTAAGTTATTAAAACATCAGATGAAGTAAAAAATTAAAACTTATAATATAATATTATATGATCAATATGTAATATAATTATTATTTTTTATAGCACATTCGATGTGGTTATTGTAATTGGTTGATGTCAAGTCAATGTGAAAATATTTTAGACCACACATGTTTTAAAGGATATAATGATGAAACAGATGCTGTACACATTGACGAAAATAATACAGCTATTATTGGTAAGTTAATATATAAAGTTAATATATAATACATCAACAGTTCCAAGTTTTGAATGCTTATCCGCTTCAACAGTTAATTCATCCAAAAAAAGTATAAATGTATAATTATATATATGAATTATATGTTATATTTTAATATTTTCTCTAATATTATCAATTCTATTTACAGGACGAAAAGAGTACAATCTATCACAAGAGTTACAAAAAGCTTTATTAGATGTTTTAAAAATACCTATTCCAGACATTGATGCTATAGATGGTTTTTTGAAAACTTTAGGAGAGGCTTTACGTCGATTGCCATACCAACAAAGAGTTATGTTACAAATTAAATTTCTTCAAATGACTACAGCAGCAGAGTTTCAAAACTATGATGACAATAATTAAAACTATGATGACAATAAGTTATATTACTCAAAGATATTTTTTTAAACCAAAAAATGATTAGAAAGTTATTTTTTATTAAAAAAAAATTATTTTGTTTAACCAAAGAAAGTTACTATATATATATATAAGTTATAAAACTATAAAATAAGAAATAATTATTATGTTTGTAATTATTTTTATTGGTAAATATATATAATGCACATTATTCATAGTTGTGAAATACATATATTTATTGTATGTAAAATACATTATACACTACATATTGATGGCAATTATTAACTTAAAAAAAGTTAAATGTTGTATTTTTACAATCTAAAACTATGAGCAACATAAAATAATGAAACACAAATACTGGGTTTATTTCATTTTTTCTACTAAAAGTAGAAAATTTTAAAGAATAAATGAGACATTATCAAAAGAATTATATTTCTATAATGATGAAAAATTCAATTATTTATCAATTATTTTAAAAGTATACAAGAAAGTATAACACGCATTTATGTACTTAAGACTAAATTATATATATTTCTAAGCTAAATAATGCATATAATACATATATATATATACATGTGTGCATTTACGCGCAATTTATTTTNCTTTGTTCACATGGATAAAAAATTTGCGTACTAGATACACGCGTATCCAATGAAGTGCAACGTTTAGTATTTCTGTTCAAACGTTCCAAGAGAATAGAACAATACTATTGGTTATACACGTTACGCTGCTGCTATTTTATGTTCCATGTGAACTAAGGACATTCAATTTCGCGTAATATAAACCACGTAACCTCTCTGATTGGTTACGCGTTACGCGTTACGCGAAAAATAACAGTGCATGGGATCGCACCCTAACGCAGCAATTGCAACTGCTACATGAAGCCGCTACGTAGCGCTACGTAGCGCTAGCTTCGGCTAAACACACCCAATTATAATACTTTGACACTTTTTTTGCCATTTTTATAAATAATTAAAAAACACAATTTAGCAACCGAAGAATACAACGGCGATTTGTATACAAACATATTTGCGCTTACAAAAAGCGTTGCGCGTAGCAATACTATCCAGCAGAAGTAACGCAGCAATTGCAACTGCTACATGAAGCCGCTACGTAGCGCTAACTTCGGCTAAACACACCCAATGATCCGCAATCCCAATCCAATCTACGTCCGCAATACGTAGTGTGACACGGGCCTAAGTTACGCTTACGCAAGTTGCGCTGCATAAAAAAAGGAACCTAAGGCTTTTAGTAGTGACAGTGAATACCTATGTATAGTGAATAATGCACGTATATACTCAGAAATCTCAGAATGACGTATGGATTTTACCGATTCTTTGAGCCATATTTGTATCAAACTAATCAAACTAGTGAACAGTTTTAACAGTGCAATTAATAGAATATACTAATCCTTATATTTGATAATAAATAACCTCGTAAAATGGCAACGACGGAAAATGTTAAATACGTTTATCAGTTGCCATTTTCTGAGCGGTCGGAGTTTTGTAAAATTATGAACCAAAATGACAAGTGGGAAGAATTAGCTGGTAAGTTACCGGGAAATCCCGATGCTTACAAAATATATATACTCATTTGTTACTGCTCATAATCACTGCAATTCCACTTCCCAATTTTATCGTACCTCTTAACTTTGTGTAATGTTTTTGATATGGAGTAAAATACACTCTAATAACCACAGTGACAATATAACATGCAGTATTTATTTTTAGATATGTTTATACACAAGTTAATTAACTTACAGTATTATACATTGGCAGGTATCTGGATGAAGTACGATGTTTTAACAATACAAAGTCTACGAAAAGAAAAAAATCCCACAGATGAACTTTTAACTCTGTGGGGTCATCACAATCATACAATAACAGAATTGTTTGTCTTACTGTCCAGAATGCAACATTATCAATCAATGGTGCCTTTGTTAGGTTTTGTTGATCAGAAGTTTCATCCACTTTTATATAATGGAGAAGGCAATTTACAGAACATACCACGCAACCAGCTAGTCAACAGGAATATTAAAGATTTAAAAATTGGCATACAAAATTTTAATCAACGTGTATCTCCACAACAAAGCATCAATAAAATTTTAAATCAACCAATGGCACAACTAGCTATTAGTCCAAGCAACTCTAACAATTTGTTAGCAACTTTACCAGTAGGACCTCCTGCTTTATCACCTTCTCAGAATATCATCAGTGGTAAAAAGATCAATAAGTCATCATTACCAAGAACAGAAACTAGTTTGCCACATGCAAGTTATAATGAACTAGCTATTGCTACAAATGAATGGAATCAGCACAATATATTAGGAAGGGGTGGTTTTGGGACAGTATACAGAGGTATGTACTTACAATATAAAATATAAAATACTATTTATATGAAAGAACATTTTTTTAACTCTAAAAAAAACTTAGATATGAAGAAACTTTATTTAGTAAAATTATATTTGTATGTACATTAAAGGCGTTTGGAAGAATACTGACGTTGCAATAAAAAGACTTCGACAAAAGGGATCTAATTCCGATGAAGCTTACATGCTGCAATTGCAACAATCGTTACAAGAAATAAAGATTTTGAATTCTCGCGCTCATGAAAACATCTTACCTTTATATGCATATAGCTTCGGTGGCGAAGCACCGTGTTTAGTTTATCAACTGATGAAGAATGGATCTTTAGAAGCCAAGTTGCTATTGAAAGATAAGACTAGACCATTAACGTGGATACAAAGACACGAAATTGCAAAAGGTATAGCACGTGGATTGCAATACTTGCATACAATTGGAGAAAAACCATTGATACACGGAGACATTAAAAGTGCCAATATTTTACTGGACACAAATTTTGAACCTAAAATTGGCGACTTCGGTTTGGCGCGAGAAGGCCCCGAAAGAGATAGTATGACAGTAAGTAATGTTTATGATAAAGTACTGCGCAATGTGTTAAAAAATGTAATATATAGAAAATTTATATGAATTTTATATTCTTGCATTTGACTGATGTTTAAATATTATTAGGTTAGCAAGATTTATGGAACTAGGCCATATTTGCCTGAGGAGTTTTTACTCAACAAAAAGTTATCCACAAAAATAGATACATATAGTTACGGCATAGTTTTATTCGAAATGGCAACAGGTCTTCCTGCTTATGACAATTCACGACCCGAAAAAAAATATTTACTAGAAGTAATTGATGCTTGGGAAGAAAAAGATCTTCCTCTTTTGATGGATAAAAAAGCTGGTGACAAGGACAAGCTTGTCTACGGAAATTTAATAACTCTGGGAAAATTGTGTACTCATCGATTGGCGCAAAATCGGCCAGAAATGGAATTTATATTTCGAAAATTGAACGATTTATAAATTTTGCGATTGCGGTATCAGATGATTTTTGTTTTAACGCAAAATACATAGTGACGATAGAGTTACAAATATGTCAACAAATACGAAAAAAAATATTGTGATACAAAAAAAACTGCATGTGCCTAATACATTATAAATTATATACATATATGCTTAATAAATTATACACATGCGTATATATCGAATATGTGCATATTTTGTATATGATAATTTTTACGTGTTATTCAGCATTTATTACAATTTGTTTTATATAATGTTACGAAATAAAGCATATTACTTGTTTTTATATCACGAATTCAATTTTTATATCTACTCGAAACGATTTATAAAACTATATTAATGCATAAACAGTTATGAAACATGCTTTTAGTGAAGCTTTAAGTATTTTATATTACTCACTCTTTTATAACGTTTTTTTCTCTTTTTTTACTTTATTTTTTTGAGAGAGCAAGACAAGAAAATTAAATATAATAAAACGTATTTATTGAACAACACAATAAACTTATTTAAACTGAGAAATATACGGTCAAGATAAGAGCCGTTCGCAGGATGTTGTGCGGAAATATGCACAGAAATATATATATATTAGTTTAGAAACTTCAGAGCCTGAAAAATTCTTTATTAATTGTTAAAACCTATTTAAATTGTTTCTGTAATTTGCAAAATAGTAATGTAAAGTTTTGTACATATAATACAATGTATATTGTAATATCATGATATTTTAACATGGCGATAAATTATAATAAAAAAAAGTTTAAATTATATCTATGTATATGTCAAGTAGACATAAGAAAATAACTAATTACACATCTAATGATTTTATACTATTGTTATGAATTTTTAAAGTAATGTTAAATGAGATGTGTCAAAAGATTGACGCGTGCGTATGTATGTCAAATATGATAACTATATACTTTATTGTATAAATCGTAACTAGAACGCGTATATGATCACATATGTTTAATTACTATATTTTTATATAATAAAAAATAAGTAAACTTCTATGAGTATTCTAAAACTCTATAATATATTTATAATCAAAACTTTTTTTTTAGTAGGATATTCAAGGATGTGTCTACATTTTTCATAATTTTAAAAACACGTAACTTACATGTACGAGTACATATATGTAACATATATATCATGTAAGATATATCTTTTAAAGATTATCTCTTGCGATCTTTTATCGTTGCGATGATGCAATTCACAAAGTGATGATCACAAAAGTTTTCTCAGTTTTTTTCCTACTAAACATTATTTATGTATTAATATATCGATATAAGTGAGTTCTCAAACAATTTAACACTTTGTCTCATGTCGACTTAATAATTAACTAAATAAATCCGTCTTAGATGTGATTTTCTTCAACGTCGGAAAAATATTGATCGAACTATATTGACCGTTACATAACGGTATGTTTAAATCGGAATTGTCAATAGTTTTAATCATTTCTTGCTTCTTTTTCTGTTGTTGCGTGAGAATCCGCAGAAAAACTATCAGCGATAGAATTATTGTTGTTACTCCGGCTACGCCAAGCAAATACATCAACACTGCTTGTACAACCGGAAACACTTGCAATACGAGTTGCACTCCAATCTTTAGATACAGCGGTAACGACGGTATTATCTATAAAAGTAAATTTACTTTTTACATATATTTTCAAAATATAATGAAAACAAATTTCAATTTGTGTCTAGACATAATCAATACTTTTGCGTCATGTCCAGTGTTACTGCACATACGTGTAAAATTGTTTAATCTTACTTTTTAAGAATGCCTATGACGCTATTAATTGTGTTGCTTCACTAATCGCGATAAGTAAACCAAAAAAAAACGACGTTAGAGAAAGTAGAGAGACATATGTATAATTAACATAGCTTTCACAAGCAGAAAAAGACCGAGATATGTACATTGGTTTTTATCACAGATTACTCACCATTTCGGTCCACATTAAAGGTACTGTTAAATTGTTAAAAGCAGTGATGTCTGGATTATAGCGTGTATGTTGTAGTATAAGATTTGTTTGCACTCTTGAACGTCCTTGTATAGGTACGCCGAGTGTCTAAAAAAAGGATAGTATTGAATTAATATAATATCTAATATGTATATATAATATTATATGCGTGATATGCACTGAAAATACCTTGAGTTGAAAAAGTGAAATGTACTTGTTATAATTTTTTAATTTTAGTGATTAAGTGAAAGATAATTGTATATAATGTCAACACACAGCATTGTTTTTTACTGATCTTTTATACACGAACTTAATATTTCTTTATTTATTACAATTTAAAGAATGTTTATTTTAATGAAAAAAAAGTTCACATACATCTTTTCATTTATTAGAATATTTTTATCCTATCAAACAATTACTTGGAAGTTAGATAAGATTGAAATACTATTGGATAACTAACACTATATTGGATAATAAACAGGTTTTGAAATTAAATAATCGCGTGTCACATAAAACTTCCTCAATTCTAATTACAGATAATACAATAATTGAACTAACAAGCTTATTTATTGTGATTGTTAATTCTCTAATATTTACTGTGTTATCACATATTATTTGTATCGAGCTTTGCCAAGTAATGTCTTTTCAAAAAAAAAAAAAATGTTTTTAAAGTATAATTTATTTCAATTATAGAATTTAATTTAATCTCATAAAATTTAAAATATAATGAAGCATTTAGATAATATTTGATATATTATTGATACACAACTATTTCATATATTATTGGATATCACTTACTGGCTGCAGTATTACGTAGGAATCATGCTTCTCTCGGTTCGGTTCGAGACCTTCTATATTTTCTAATAAAGTCGGATCGGCATCAAGAAAGTGTGGAAGCGATACTGCTGCCGGGATATCTAGAAAAAAATCGAATAAACAATTTACATATTAAGCGAGTGTTGTAACATTATATCTTTTTATATAGATTGATATAACAAAAAACTAAAATTATTTCTTATTATCACCAATATCGTGATGACGCACAAGCGCATGCGGGGACATCGAAGCAAATAATACTTAATTCAGTTATTTACGGCATACGATACAGCGAGTAGCAAAGCTAAAGCGTGATTTTACGCATTTAGTATTGAATGTCACCAAATGCAAATAACGTATCATTGAATATAAAATCATAGCATTGCAAAAAGGTTTTTTTAACTGCATGTGCGCACACGCATAATAAAATCATTACTAACAGTAATGACGAGCTCTTAAAAGTGAAATCCTCAAATAATCAAAAGATCTATGAGCTACAATCCACGGCTAAGAATTTATTGGAATGCTAATTTATTGTAAAATTTATTTTTTTCAATAAATTCTTAGCATTATCGTATTATTTATCACCACTACCAACTGTGTAGCTCATAGACCTTTTGATTATAATAAAATTACAGTACAAAATTTGTGTATTATTGCATAATGAACAAAATTATTTGCAATAAAATAATGCAAATCAGAGAGATAACACAATACAATAACAGAATGATATAATAACAGACATAATTGCCGTTAAGAAATACGTACTGTAGTAACATGGTGTTAAATCCATTAGTCCTTTTTTCAAACACTTTTTTTTGTTAAGACAATAGCATTCATTCTCTGGATTTTGATCGGGCGGATCGGCAAAACCGTCTTTGAGAACGTAAAGATATCCCGGCAGACCTTGCACGGTCACAACTTCCTTTTTAAAGACAATTGGCAATGCTCGGCAAAACGCTTTTCGATAGACTTTAAAAACAGCACGCTTGTCCATGTATGACGGAAATATAATGCCTTCCGTAGCGCCTTGAATTGTGTTGCATGCAGTATTTCTAAATAAAAAGAAAAATAAAAAACTGTTAAACCATATTCAGACGGTACCAATAATGTTTAAACAAAACGCAGTAAAAACGTAAATATATTGAACGTTTTTCGCACATATTTAGAATTTTCATTAGTGTTTTGATCATGTCAACATTCAATTAATTACACAACGAATTAGTTACGTTTAATTACAAAACGGATCTGGTTAAAGATTGTAAACATTGGACAAATTCAACCAGACAAAACAACAATTAGTCTACTTGCCGAACAATTAAATGTGATTAGGATTCTTACTTTTTTGGATCCAATCGATTACATTCAATTGCCTGGCGATAAAGTACTCAATAAAAAAAATTTATATATTTAAAAAAAATTTAATATATTTTCAATTGCTAAAAGTTTATTTTTTCACACAAAAAATTATTGTTTTTAGTAAATATGATAGCCGCGTATCAGATTATATATATATATATAAATGTTTGTAGACGCGTAGATTAAATAAAACTCAAATTTAGTTAATTATAAATAGAAATAAACTTCAAATTATCCAACTCAAAATTATTCAAAAAATGTAATTAATTATAAACAGAAATAAACTCCGAATTATTCAAAACTACAAATTAATTTAAAATTAACTTAAAAAGTAAATCGGTCATTGTTTTAAAAATGTAAATATTCATCGGAAGTCGTGCATCAAGATATATTACATATTGATATGCCAAATCGAATAAATTAACATATTTAAATGACGCTAAAAAGTTCTACTCATTGACATTGCAACATTGTGAAAACATACGCGATAGCATATAAAATACACTGGATGTGTCAACATAATATCTGACATTTTTATATTTGATTTTTTCAGTCATATTTGCAGTTGCGTCAGTCTCTACTTATTTACGTTTATACCGTCAAAGTAATTTTAATTTAATGCATTGTTTGAATTTCAGTAAAAGTCTCCATAGATTTTTTGTAATACTAAGAATAACACTTAGCACCTTTTGAGCACAGAATAATGCAGTCTCTTTGTACTTTGCATATGCAAGTGATTCACGATTACAAAGCACAGTTTTTTTTAAACGATCGGAAGATCGAGCAAAGTCAGTATGTCTGCTTAAAGAGAGAAAACATTTGTTTTTAATGTTGTTTCGATTATTAAAAATAGCTCTTACTCTTTCCGTGTCTCGTTGTCTCTTGTATTGACGTATCCCCATTGCGACAATCCAGGACTACCGTTGAACTTGTCGATGCTGAGATACCGTCCTTTCTCTTCTAGCATGTTATCATTCTTGCGGAGATTTATCGTTACGATATTCTCCCCTTCGTCATACATCTAATATAACAAATATACGAATTATTTAACATGTACATATTTTTGTGGCTTACGTTTTTTAATTTTTTTAAACATGTTATGTGATGCCTCATTTGCTTTATCGCACAAGTTTTGATAAATCAACTTTAATCGTAGCGCATAAACACGTGATAGATGCTAAAGGATGGAATACAATGTACGTGTTTTTTATATGAGACATAATCTTTTTACAAGAAAGGTCACAACTTATAAGTTTTCTGTTTATAAAATGTTGACAAACATGTACAGATAATTTATGACATTTGCTAACGTAATGTAATTATTATGTACGATGATTATAGATGATAATCTTGTTTAATCTTAAGGTCGGAGTTTTTATTTGAATATAAAATCACACAAGAGTCCAAAGTTTCCGCTCATAGATGAATAACAATTAATGACAACACAGCACAGTTATATATTTTACATTATATATTTTGTAAAAATTTAATATATTGTATTTTATAAAAAATTAACCATTATCTAATTAATACATTTGTTATGAAAACTATTTCCGATAAGTTTACATATTTAAAAAAATTTTAAAGTTTAAATATTTTGTAAATTTTAAAATTATCTGTGTATGTTCTTGTCTACGTTCTTATGTGCGCGTATAAATGATAAAATGCTCTTAAAAATATATTTACATTATACTTAAACGAATGCAGTGCGAAACGTGCGTCCAGAAATCATGTTTTATGTGCCTCGAGATTGTGCAGTGTTAAAAAAAAAGTAATAAAACTAACCTCGTGAACCCTGAAACGAGCGCGTAAGTAGTGAAAGGACTCGCAATAATTGCAAAAAACGACCGCGGTTCGGGACATACACGAGTTTGCGCTATATCGCTCGTACATTGCTGCATAATCGCGATCAAAGGTGTACCAATTATTACGAAATTATTTCTGTGCAACTGCTTTACATATAAAAACAATATATAACATATATAAAAACTCAAAATGTTTATTCTCTTGTGGCACGTGTTCTTATATCACTTTAGAATAGTTTTATATATCACTTGTAATAGTTTTTGTAAAACACATACAGATAATAAATCAAATTTCAACAGCTTTTATATCAACAAATACATTTTTTGTCTTTGAACTAATAATCTTGATATTCTTATTGTTTGTTATGTACGACAGCGAAAACAATTTTCAATGAACAATGCAGAGCACTTATTAATTATATATCAAAAAATAAATAGCATACTTCTTTAATCAGTTATTTTTTGTTTTTTTTTTACATAAAAACTGGTTATCAGTAACACATGTGTTTTGCGCAAAACGCTGTATTTAAAAGCGTAAAATGTTTTCGTAAAATGCGTCTAACCAGTTTTCCTTCGTGATTTAGTAATAGCAAATTGAGCACCAGTGTTTTATGATATGACTAATTAAGACGCATTTCCCTTTCCTCTGGACTTCACCCTGCACCACTGACACTTGCGGTCATCGAATTTTTTTTTTTTAGAGCCACTTTTTTTAAGTTGCTATATATTCAAGCAGAGACTCGATGAAAGTAAACACGCGGGCCAAGTTAACAACTTCGACGTCCGGTCCTGTCAAGGAGTACTACATTTTTATGCTCTCGTGATTAACTCGCGTCGATAAGAACTAGGTCGTCATAAATTTGTCGATTGACCAATGCGCTCTAAACTGGTTAAATGTGCGTAAGTTATAAAACAGTTTTTCGTTACCAGATACTATTATAAGTCGAATTAAATTCCTTCTTTATTTATACAAAAATCTACTTTTAATTTTACTGAGTTTAATGGGGTTTTCCACTATTTAGAGAGAACCATGGCAGTTAGATGTTATATAAATATAATATCTCAGATGACAATATCAAAAATACATATATGTAACAATATTAAAAATAAATACATATAATGAAGAAATATACATACACATATATCGAAAAATATTGTATATCAAAAACCTAAGATAGAAGATTTAAATATAAAATAAGGTTTTACAATTTTATTTGCTACGGAATACACTAAATATTCTTACTGATGATTATTCAGAAAAAAACTAAATGTTTGTGCACATTTATTTCTGCATTTGATTCTTAAATGAGTAATATAATACGTAATGCGTGAATTGATATTTTTCTGCTGTACACGTGAAGATTATTATTCCTGATATTCTGATCTCACAATCAGTTTTTTTAACTTCATTATGCATTGTGACTTATAATATGACCTCAAGCTAACGAAGCCAACGTGCGTTGCAGAAAATTAAGTTAACTAATGGGCAATATGATTAATCGTCACGCAGAGTCAAGTACGTATATCTACCTCACTTATGTTTTTTTTATGATTAACAAAGTAATTTTTTATGCATTTTAATATATAATTCGTATCGCTTACAATACAAAAAAAGGTCGATTTACTCACTCTGTCGAGAAGACCAAACTTTTGAAAGTTAATGAAGCTTGGTACGATGTTACTAGCCAATGACACCAATTTATCCTCATAACCCCATAGATATTCATGTACAGACATATTAAGGATCGGTTTGGCACCTATCATAGTTGCCAATTGCGTTAAGGGATAATTCACCAAAAATCCCGCGTTGTGTAAAGCAGACGAAGCACCCTGCATAAGAATATTTTTGTGTGTACATTTTGTTTTAATTGCTCTGTTATAGAGATTATCTTCTCATTTTTTTGCCAAATAATTGTTTAACAAGTTTAGAATTTCAGTTTCTTGAACAACACTCATTTAGCTTGATACGTAGTCAGACGTATAAATAATCTTCTAAATTTGAACTTTGGGTTTTATTGATCGCGAGAGATTGGTTTAACTACAATTTAGATAAACAGACAACTTAAACTCTTAAAGTGACAAATATGTTTTCAATAATAATATCCTGATAAAAATGCATAAATAATGAGACAAAAATAAGAAGAGTCGAATGAATCAGAATGTGTTTTTACTAGTGTTTTTTCTACTACTATGCTCTGTATATTTGATAAATAATTAAAAACTAAATAAAGAATCGATATAGCTGTAGTCTACTGGTTGTCGTGGTAATCCAGGATAATAAATAAGAGAGAAGTAGATTTCCGAGAAAGGTAGATTTTTTATATAAAAGAAATGCAGTAATTTGTCTTGAACGTTTCGATTAATTTATTCTGATTTTTTTTAGCATACTCGAATTTCAAGTATCTCACTTCTGTCGACTTACATAGCGGCTGACAAAAGGTCGTAGGTTCGAAATTTGAGTATGCCAAAGAAGATCAGAATAAATTGATCGAAACGTTCAAGACAAATTACTGCATTTCTTTTATATAAAAAATCTATCTTTCCTGGATTATTTATTATCCTGGATTACCATGACAACCAGTGGACTATATCGGTTTTTTATTTATTTTTTATAATTTATTCATCATAGCTTTGTTTTATCAAGTTTAAAAAATAATTAATTTATTTATATAAACATTTATTAAAACAATATATTAAATATTTAGTAAATATATATAGAATATATAGAGAATAGTAAATAGTTATATATAGAGAAAAGTAGATATTTTTTTATATATTATATAAATACTCATTTAAAAGTATTATATAATGCTGATTTCCTATTTCTTCTAATGCTATGTCAATTACATACTATGAGAATAATATCAAGCAGTCGACAAAAAAAATGCTGGTAAACATTTGAAAAATCACGCACAAAAAAAGTGAGTAATTTACTTCCTTATCTACTATAATTGAAGACACGTGTTACATCAGTATAGTGTGAATTAAGCAAATTAAAACTGCAGGAACTCGATCTAATTTGTTTGCTTCGGTTAGCAAATGCACCAATTTTTTGTATTCAATTTTAAATATTTTTTTTAAGCAGAAATTAAAATAATATGTTTATGTCACAATTTTAATAAAAACGTTGCACAACACACAGGTTTGCATCTTGATAAAAATCCATGTGTGAAGACTGTCAAACTATTTCGACTATCAAAGATCCTTTTATTTCATTAAAACAGTAAATATATTATAACAACATCGCATTTAGAATTAATGTGTTCTTACTTACCAGATAAGCTATGTTTGGAACAGTGATCAAGTCTTCTGCAGGATTCCTGACTGATTTTTCGGGCACGTAAATTATTGTTCTTTTTGGAATGTAAGTCATGGTATCATTGTCATTAAATGTGACATTGTGATTTTCAAGATATTCTCTGCAATTGAATCAGATATTTATGCATATTTGTTGCGCTAGAGAAATTACTTTCTAAAGCATCTCTCGGACGTGTGTATGTGCAAATATTTTGTTTCCAAAAAGTAATTAATATTTCGTAGAACGGCAAAAATAAAAAGATCAGAATGCGAGTAAAAGCACAAAATATGCTTACTGATAAACATATGGTCCAAGCTCTTGAACCTTGAGCTTCTCCTTGCCGCTGAGAAATTCTACTGGATTAGTAATGTTAAATACATACACACTTAAGAAAACATCAAGAGGTGGTTTCTTCCACATCGAAAAGAGAAACGTGTGCGGTGTTATTTGTAGATGCTGCAAATGTATAACGTGTTTTTAAACTATATTTTCAATCTGTATATTAATATATATTTTGCATTTCGTCAAAAAAATTTTGCGCAGTTGTATAGAGATATAGAGCTTCTGAAAAATTATGATATTTTTCAAATACGAAAAAGATAATTTTTTAAAATTATTATTCTACCAGACATACTAAACATAGATTTTGATTTTTTTAATGAAAACCGTTTTTCCTATATTTGAAATCATTTTGTTTTCAATAAAAATGTTTGCATCGTTTATTCATGTAAATGTACTTACGTATTGTGTTATCGTGTTCACAGGATTGACAGTATAAATCACATAAGTCAAGATACTGCATATAATACCCGTCATAAATAAGATGATGCATTCTAAAAAGAAAAATAATTCTAAACTATTATTGAAAAAGTTATTTTTCAAATATATTAAAATACACTTTCTAGCGTCGCTTTATCAATAACAATAGATGTATAAATTTGTATGCGACACGTGCAATAAACGACTCGATTTTATATTTATATACCTTTACTTATAAACAATTTATATTTTATTTTCAAAATCACAGTATAAATAAAACTATTGTGTCTCAAATATATCGCGCGCGCACATATTAACTACCTAATAAATATAATTTCGAAACAATTCAGACATTAACACGTACGGTCAAGTTTACACACCTGTAAGGCCGACAAAGAAACGAGTATCTTGAAAAAATATTGAATATGTGACGAATTTCACTGTGTACCACTTTACACTTTTAGTATATATTAAACAGTAATACTTTTCCGTTCGTGTTTGCCCGTTATTCATTATTATTCATTCGCCGCTCCGCAAACTCGTCATTAAAAGATTCTATTCGTCGGTCCATTCCACAAGAATTTAACAGAAACGCGATATTCGAGTGAATATTTGATAGTTTATAAAACCACTCCGACAAAAATTGTCGTTTGAAATGTTTCGTTTATTGAAAATAAAAACAATAATTATTTGAAGCGCGAACAATTATTGTTTTTATTGATTGCTTGAAATACCAAAAAAGAAAAAAAAATATTTTATATATTTTATATATTATATCTTTTATTCAACATTTTATTTTATATATAACAAATATATAAAACTATTTTTAATATTTGTGAAACTATACTTTTATGTTTGTAGAATTTCAACATGATTTAAATAATTTATTAAATATCTCAGAATGCGCGTACATGTATTGTTTCACATTTTTTGTTCTATTCTGGTCTGATCAGACAGACAATAATTGCTATAACCTAACCTATAATATTTGTTTTTTATGTCATAATGCTTTATATTGCGTATTAGCAAGCAAGAATATTTATATCTTTAAGTAATATTACTTTGCAAAAGATGTGCTCACATATTAAGATTATTTTTTAATTAACCAAAAAAGCGTGCTAAAATCACAACGCATCGCCTCATAAATTCTGATAACCTTTACTTTTTTACGTCACTGATATGTACATGTACTTTTACATTCTTAAAAAAATTATGTAGTAATATTGAAAGATAAAAAGCATTTTATTATATAAGATGATTATTACGTTTATGAAATCACACTGTTAGAGATAATCGGTAATTAGTTGCCACGTGTTTGTATATATTATATATATAAAAAAAAATTGATTCTTGCATTTATTTGTAGTGAAATATAAATGTGTTTATACGTAGTGAAGTATAAGAAACTCTTGACGATATCTTATTGTGTTCATCAAAACAATAAATATCACTTGTGACTTCTTGTTTGCTAGGTCATATCTACAAATATAACACATTGCAAACATATCTTCTTTTATTCTTTTTTCTGAGAAGCACATTTAAAAGCATATATGTGTCTAATTTACACTTCAAAAACCTAAAGAACATATATTCCTTGAACCTTGGAATACGCTATCATTGAATTGGCGTTTCCGTGATTTCTATATGCGCATTTTCTTCAACCTACTCTTACTTCTCATTAAGCGACGAGTAAAACAGAAATTCGTTGAAGTTTTAAACTGCAAAACTTTCAATGAGACGCGCAGCTATGTAAATTTTTTGAAACAGTAGTGTTGGTGAAAAATGTAAGTGTCTTCGATTATCTCTAAGTAAGGAGAACATTTTTATTTTTTTTTCACAGTAGATCAATGTTTATATTACTTCGGTTTTTAAACAGAAGAGAAAGGATTCAATTGGGTGAAGGAGAGAAATGTCGACACAAAATGAAGCGGAAACAACAGTCTCGGAGCGAAACTTGAAAGTTAATTTTCCCGCGGAAACTGTCCGTTTGTAACGTGTACACGTTCGATATACTATGTTTGATTGTGCATAAAATTCTGCTCTCTATCTGCAATTGTCAGCATTATTGACAGCTTGCGATAGAAATCAATGGATGTATCTGTTTGTTGCATAACGCATAATGCAAGTTATATACACGTAGTTACTTATATTACTTATATTACGTTTCAGTCTTAATGTAAAACATTATGACACACATGTTATTGAAAATTGAGATGATTAATGAGATTTAATTTTGTCCTGAGATTTAAGCGATATAAAAACGGTTGCTTGCCTTGACTCAAATTCAATATGTGGTACAATATTACAACCCACACAAGGTCATTACACTCACAATCCAAATTTCAGTTCACATGTTACAAATACTCTTCTAAGAACACGAGAGCATCTTGTCATCAAAATTAAACTCTTTATTGTACGCTGTATTCTCAAGACTTTAATCATCACGATTAGCTCGGTGTTTTCAAGCGATCCACATCTGATACGTGTAAATTAATTTTCGATTTGGCGCGAACCGAGGATTACTCACTTTTAAACCTTTGCAGTGCGAACATGGACTTCATGGCTGTGACCCGATTCTTCTTGTTTTACCGTTTCCCTGCTCGTTGCTTATTGAATTCTGAAAAAAAAATACAGAACAGTATCACGAAATTCTTATTATTACGAAAATCGAAAAAGTGATTGATTAACAATTTGAGGTCAGTATACTTATATGTCATACGTTATAGACGATTGAACACGACTTGAATATTAAGTTCTAAGTAATTTTTCAAGTATATTTCGTTTCCAAAACAGTTGACTAAAATCGTTTAAAAGAATAAGAAAAAAGAAACATATTGGAAAAACTCTCTTCTTCACTTTTCAAATTCTATCTAATTTCTATTTTGAATAAGTCGGAATGTACAACTCTTTGTCAGATTTCAAAATATATGTGTAGAAAGAAAACAAGCTGATTATAAACAAACACATTACGATATTTTGTATCTTTTCTGTGTCTGTTGCAACGTACTATCGTTTTGAATTGTTTTTTTTATTTGTAATCTTATTGATTAATAAATGTTTGTAAGATGTTAGTTCTACTTGCAATCAATTAATTTAATAATCTTTAATCAAAATTTAAGTAAATTAATTTGATTTATCCATTATACACAAATAGACATAATTGACAGCGTTCGCTAGCACTATGTTGTACGTGTTGATGTAAGTAAACTTAAACTTAAACATTCACCGCGAGTTTGTCGACGCTATTAGCGCATTGCTTATATTTGCATGACAGTCACAGTTGTTCCTTTCCGGTAAGCTTCACGGACACTTTTCCTTACTATTTCATCTCGTTAGATAACTGATTTACAAAACGTGGATGGTAGAGAATGCAATGCAAAAATATATCATGAAAATATGTATCAAAAATTAGCAATGATAATACTCTATGTCGCGTTTAGTTTGCATATATTGAATCTTTTGTTGCCATATTGGAATACAAAACCATAAAATGTTTAGTTTGTAGTCAGGCAACTTAAAGTGTGGATGAGATCATATTGCTTTACAATATATAGTGTTCATTGATATCTCTGTTTACAATAGCGTTTGGGTTAGATTACACAACCATGGTTTATTAATATTTAAAGAAAATAGATATATCAACGCAAAATAAATGGCAAAATCATATGCAGAAACAAAAATGGAGTTGCTTCAATTAAAGTCGACGTCACGAGCTGCTACAAAAATAAATAGTTCATTTAACTGCATATGCAATTAACTTAATGTCTAGATTCTTAAAGCAACTATATCTGCTGTGTGTAATTAAATAATATTGATGTTATCAACGGGATAGAGATATATTTCAATTAAACTGATGCTGTTGATTCAACATCATTTTTTCTCCGTGTATATAATGTTACGGATTATCTACGTAAAAATGTTGATTATAATACTTGCATTGATTACGTTATAATAGTTACAGTCTAATAATTAATGACATCAACAACCATTATTTATAAAAACTATATCAGGCAAGCGCTCACACACACCAGGCGCGCGGCTCACTGACGTGCGTCTGGCTAACGGTCTGCGCTGATTGACCTGATTTACTCAATAATTACTCCTTTATTATAAATAATAAAAAAATATGGTTTAGGACTTTTCGACTCAGTTTTACTCCTTCTACCTGCCTACGAGAGATTGTACGGCAATTCTGGGACACGCTGTATATATAGCTTAAACATGTCATTTCTAATAGTTCAATTGCTTTACGCGTTTGTTATGCTTTTATATGATAAGATTACAGAGTATTCATTGATATTCTCTGTCAAGAGCAGAGCCATAGGTCGACCGATAACCCTACCATTCTATCGTACGGATATATTTTTCTAAGTTTGTACGTATATATAAAGAATAATAATATAGGTTTTATAGTCTTTTACAGTAACAATCATTCTTAATGACATTGGAACTGACTTTATAATTTCATATAAATTCTACAATTCAAATTGTGCTGATTCAGCCAATTAAGAAATATCTGCATTGACAATGCGTTTAATTAACGTCAATAAATTAATATTAAACTTTATAGAAGTAAATTACATGTTAACTTAAACTTATTCTTCAAATTTGTATTGAATATTGTGAAATAAAGAATATACGCAAATTTTACAACAAATATTTGTTTTCTTAGTATCCGACTAACAGAGAAATAAGAATAATTAAAGAGAGCCAAACGTTATTAAGAGTCAAATGTGGATATATGTACAAAATATAGAGATGTGCGAACTATTCGGATTCGAATCGAATCGAATCGAATCTGATGAAATTCGATTCGATTCGAATCCGAATCTCTATGGTTCAAATACGAAGTATTCAAAGATACGAATTGAAAAGATTTTATACAATTTTTTTCTACAGGCATTGACATTGTTATTTAATGTACTCACATCCAAATTTATATTATCCGAGCTATCAGGATTTATATTTAAATCAATTATATTTATATTTAAATCAATCTCCAT